TTTCTCAGCGGTCAGAGCTGTCTCACATTTTTCGGGCAGGGGAGCTTCCTTTTCGAAGCTCTTTGGTGTCCTTCAAACGTTCTATAACACCATTCTCTCAAGCTCATGTTGCCTTGGTATGATTCGTTCCCTCACACGAAAGCCCTTAGTCGCCATGGCAATGTCAATACAGAAGTAGAATACCACTAGATGTTCCTCTGATCAGATCTCAAATTCAACCTTTCACCCATTTGCTAACTATTCTCTGCCCCAGAAGTTATGCCACACCCAAGCAGTGCCACGGTATTGTGTCGGGATTTGCCAGTCCAAGACGTCGTATGGATCGCCCTGATCTGCCGTTTTACTGTCTTGCAGATCTCAGAATAGGCGAATAGGCTTTAAAAAGCTCCACGCTGTCCTCCTGAAGAAGGCGGAGCAGTTCTGAATGGCCCTTGGCGACCTGACCTTTCTTGTCAGCTGAGGTTCTCGCCATTTTTTTCTTGTATTGTTGTATATCGTTTCAATGTTGTCTTATGCGAAGGATGAAGATTACTTACCTAAATGGTATTCAGTTGATGCAAGCTCGTAGAAGTGACCGCGTCCAAAACAACTCCGGTTCCACAGAGGTGACTGTTTTGCCATTTTTTATCTTTTTCCTTGCTTGAAAATTGCTACACTACTCCTGACCGAGGCGGTTTTCTAGTAGGATGGCCCTTTTGATGTCAGGGAGGGTCTGCACGTCGAAAGGCGATGTTTAGGTACAATGGATAAAAACTTTAAGGCTAGAATGCTAGTGGGTCAGGGAAGAGGAGGCATCGCGGTCGAACGGCTCCGATTTCTGAACCCGCAGACCAAACGTTTTCGGGCACTATTCAACTATTACAACCCCAAAATCTCAAAATTTTATTTTTCGTCGAAACTTTGTCTATAGGGGTAATTCGGTGCCCTGATTACGAAAATGACATTCATTTTCAACGGGGCGCCATCTGGCGCCAGGTGGCGTCACCTTGTCACGACAGTTGTTTTCACCAAACTCGATGTAAACTTCTGGGTAGGGTAAATTGGTGTCCAGATTACGAATATGACATTCATTCTTGGCGCTAGCTCCATTTAGCGCTTTAATCTCTTCGTCTGCGCCCTCCTAGTGACTAGATCGCGATCAGGACTAAGCTTTAGGAGAGAGGAAAGATATCAGTGAGTGAGCCCCCTACCCTGTGATCTCACACGCTCCATCTTCGTCACACGGTGCCTGATTCACTCATTCCGAGTCTCCCTATCCCCTAAGCTTAGTCCCAAGGCGCTATGTATAGGTGAGAGAGCCCAGAAAAGCGGGAAGTATGCGGTAAACAGCGGTAATGTCAAAAACGAATGTCATATTCGTGATCAGGACATCAAATAACCCCTATACAGAACTTTACACCGAATTTGGTGAAAACATGTGTCGTGACAAGGTGGCGCCAACTGGCGCCAGATGGCGCCACCGCCAAAAATGAATGTCATTTTCGTAATCAGGGCACCGAATTACCCCTATAGAGGAAGTTTCGACGAAAAATAAAATTTTGAGATTTTGGGGTTGTAATAGTTGAATAGTGCCCATTTTCTTATTTCAATGCATGCTTAGTCTACTTCTTGCCCAAACAGTGGATGATACACCTAAAGCTCCCTTCCCCTGGGAAAATGGCATTTCGTAGGTGGAATTATCTACAAGGAACCTTGTAAAATTCCAGCACTTCACCTGCCCGGCTCAGAGGCATAAGATCCCAACTCACACATATTTGGTATTCAAATCCGAAGTCTGCATTACATCACGCAAATTTGCGGACGAAGTTTTTCATTTGCCGCCTAAGTCGTATCTCACCGCACCTAGTTATGTGTAGTCTCTATATGTTTGCTTTGCTATAACATCTGTTCACTCAGTTCATTGCGCACTGAGTCGCGCGATTATCGTGTTTCCAATATCACCTTCCCTGTTTCCACTTTTACCGTCTGTCTTTTGGCACTATCCATTTGCACTGCCCCAACCAAAAAAAATTGTTGCGGAACTTGGCCCATCGGAACGCTCCACGATTGTAACAATTGAACGACCGTACTAGGAAAAGAACACAGGGATCAAATGGTGTCCTGGTTACGAACATGGCATTCATTTTTGGCACTGACGCAGAAGAGGATGTCATATTCATAATCAGAACACCAAACGATCCCTACAAATGATGCTTGGTCGTGGGCACAATGTGGCTCGGGGGGGGGGGGCACCTCGCAACATCGCGTCAAAATCACGGAAACGCTCCGTTTTAGGACTAAGCTTTTGAAGAGGAGAGGAACTCCGGTGTACGGAAGCAATTTTCGTATTCTCCGGAGTTCGTCCCTGCTGTTTAGGCTTAGTCCTAGATGACTTTTCTCAGAGTGCCCCCCCCCCCGAGCCACATTGCGCCTGGTCATGTTTGTGATTGTAACTTCTGTTTTTGGTCGCAGTTCGCCTTGCGAATGTTTCACAAGAATGCTGGGCTGTGCACAAAACTTTCCGCCCCAGGATAGGACCCGAACCCGCCTTTTTGGTTAGGGCAAGTGCGCTACAACTCACGCTACTTGCCCACGAAGCAAGAGGTGGCGTTTCTAGTCCCGTCTGTAGCGAAAGTAATGTTCACAACCCAGTATTTTCGCGATATTTCGATTTTTTGAGACTTTGTAGCCGTGATAGTAGTATGCTAACGTTCGTTAGTTTCTGAAAATTGTCCTCCAGTTGAGAGACAAGGGTGTGGAAACCGATTTCTTTTAGATAATTTTCTTGTCCAAGGAGTCAAGCGAGTTTTTCATTTTTTAAATTTTCAGAACGGAAAGCGAAAGCGCTCTGCGGAAACATCAAATTCCGTTCAGAACTTGGCTAAAGCTTTGCGGCGAGAGTCTGGAGGTAACGACATCTCACCTAATGGTACACACGACGCTGACAGCGCGGTGCAGCCCTGTCCAGAGGTCTGCGAGCTCACCATTATCTTTTGATCTAGCATTAGCTTCGTTTGCTTTATTCCAAATTCTACTTTTCACGTTGTTCTCCTTCTTCAATCCGCATATACCGTCAATTCAGCCGTTCCTGAAAATAATCCTCACCAAAGTACTGGTTTTACTGTATTTGGGACGTCTTCGGACTCCATGATTTGTATTTTAACATTTATACTCCGACTTTTTAAAGTGTACCTGGTTTATTTAGTGTCGAAAAAGTTTATAATCCTGCACAACATTATAACCCATAATTTTGATAAAAAGAATGGATCTACTTCAAGTATTTTAAGAAAAAGTGACACTTACTTGGCGGTTGCGGGGACCAGCGTCGATTCATTGTTGCACTTGTACACAAATACTTGTAATACTAACAGCAACACACAATGAAATGGCAGGTTTAGCTCATAATTAGGAAGGGGAAGGTTGACTGAAGCAACCTCTAGCAGGATTAGAAAAAAATATGCTGTTTCAGCGGTAATGCAAGACATTTGAATTTCATGGTGGCAATTGCCACCACCAAATTCAAACGCTTGCATTGCCGCTGAAACAGCATGGTTTTTCTAATCCTGCTAGAGTTGCTTCAGTCAACCTTCCCCTTCCTAATTATGAGCTAAACCTGCCATTTCATTGTGTGTTGCTGTTAGTATTACAAGTATTTGTGTACAAGTGCAACAATGAATCGGCGCTGACCCCCGCAACCGGCCAAGTAAGTGTCACTTTTTCTTAAAATACTTGAAGTAGATCCATTCCTAAATCAAAATTATGGGTTATAATGTTATGCAAGATTATAAACTTTTTCGGCATAACTATGAAATTTCGAATTGTTTCGACATAAGCTTAAAAACTAAGAAGGTGGGCCAATTTTCAAAGCTTCTTAGTTTCTTTGTTTGTGATCGAATAGCTTCCAAATTTCGCCATAATGATACCTATATGCTCACAAGTAATAAACAATAGCTAGAAGAAAAATTTCTCCACGGGGAAAAATTCAGGTCCGAAAGGGTTAATAAGGTCGACGCACTTCTTTTTTGATCTTTGAATCTACGTTCAGCGTCAGTTGTGTTTCCATTTAACAGTCGCTCCCCTCCATTTAACACTCGCTCCCCGTGCTGTAGGCAGGACCATCAACATCAGAAGAGCATTTTTTTGATCTGGAATTCAGGCTTTGAAACGGACTTCTGGCCTTCTTTTTTGTAGAGCTGCGGGTCTTACTAATAGCATTGTCGCAGAAGGCCCAGTTCTCATCTTCACCGACTGGTGTCGAGAATTTTCTGCATTCTGTGCGCGAGAGTGACAGGAAAAGCGCAGGTGCCTAACATACTCGTACGGTCGTAATTGCTTAGCCAATCGGAAATCCAAGGGCCAAGTCTGGCGACCTTACCGATTGTCTCATTGGCATGTATAATTGTTAGATTGGCAGTGCCTAGCGTCACCGCTAGGTCTCTGGTGGTGGTGCTTGGATCTTCCCTTACTATGAATCACGGCAGCACCAAATGCAACTAACTTCGAGCGGAACTAGGTGTATTTTCGACTGAATTTGGCGAACTAGACCTTGCACGTATCGTAGGAGAGGATAGTATCTCGTTGGTATTCACTATCTTGGTACACAAGGGATTTTTTGATGTTTCCAACTGGTATGATCGTATTATCAGCACTGTTTATTCAATTTTAGTTTTTTATTTGTTTTTTATGTTTCTGTTTTTCATATGTTCTACAGCTTTGGTGCTTGCTCGCAGAATGAAGCGGCTGTGAGTCAGGAGATGGGGATTTCGGCAGACGCCCAGGAGAACGGAATCTCGCATTTGTGAATAGGTTCACTTGCGCAAAACAGTTTTTTTTATTCTGTAATTTCTCGAAAAATGGTTCGCGTGCTCTGGCAGGCAGTTCTTTCCTCTCTTACGGATGGGCAAGAATCCTAATCCCTGCTTTCTCTTGGATCTCTAACGATTCGCAAGCCGCTCACCCTCTCAGCGCTCTTTATAGTCTATTTGGTCTCTGTTTGTTTGTGCACTGAGTTTTGAATTCAGGATGATCCGTCCACATCAAAACATCGGAGTAGTGACCCGCAAACATCTGAGCTGCCATCACTTCATGATTCGCATGCTATTCAAGACTTCTTCCGGCGGAATCGGCAACGAAGTCATCAAGAATTTATGGCATCGCAAAGTGAATTAGGGGTGCGTTCTTTTTTTTGCTACTTTTTTCAAGTTTAACGACTGTCCCAACTTTGTCATATTCCGTTGTTATTTGCTCCGTCAATGGAAGTTCAGTTATCATTTCGAATGGTTTTTCTGATGAATTCTTTGTTGTGGCGCCGCACTGGCGTCAGATGGGATCTGCGCCAAAAAAACGAATCTCATATTTATGATCAGAACACCTCCATGCCTCTGTAGGCTATTTTCGAGAGAAACTTGATATTTCACCTCAATTCCGAAAGAGTGAGCGACCATGGGGAAAGTTGGCAAGCTAGTCCGTCATGCTTCCGTCGTAGGATTTGGGGACAAGCCAGCCATGCAAAGTAGCAGTACCTTTGGGTGAAGATTTACAGATGGACTAACGACTCTTTTTGCTGGGTGCGTGTGACATCTTCCCGAGGTCGAAACCAACCCGTTTATGGACAGGAGCCCTAGTTGGTAGAAAGGGCGGCAATCTATCCTCACTGTTATGACAGAGGAGCAAGCCGGCAATTTCACCATTGTCTGTGTACTTTTATTCATCTTTGGGTGTCTGCCGCTGCCGGCTCAGGGTAAAAACTTAGCTTTCTGCTAGCAAATTGTCTTCTTGTTGTCTGTTGGCATTCGCAGTTGGGTAATGAATCCACAGGTGCTGATTTCCTTAAAGTTAGGTCAATATCTGAATGTTCTCTCGCTTGCCTATAGTGGGAAATGAGTGTTCTGGTCAGTGCTGACATTCAATTTCGCGTCTCAACTTTTTCTTCCAAATCCAT